GCGTGGCTCGAACATAGTTCAGACGGGTCGAAAATATCTCGGAAATGGCTCGTTTCACCAAGCATAGTAATGATGGAACTAATCAACACCAAAAAGACAAGAAAAGTACGTCGAACCACAAAAATACAATACGAGAATAAAAATACACAAAACACGATAAAATGGACTGGTCGACACTAAAACAAACCTAAAAATACTAAACTCCATCACATAAAACACACAAAAAATAAGCACAAAAACACAATAAACAATACTACAGGCCAATCTCTATGTTCACCGGAAAGTGGATGTCATTAGTACAACAGTGGATGATGAAGTGTAGATCCACACATGGCAGAAGGCCGGAATTTGGGCAGAAAATAAAAAAGAGGCCACACTGCTAGCTGTAAGGTGTGGATTGGAAGAAGCTAAGGCAAAAAAGTCGGAGGATATTCAAAGCATTCTCAAGGACAAGGGGGTGGTGACTAATCTGAACTCCGTTATACATGTTGTGCCCTCTCTTTTCTCTTTATGTCGTGGTTGATGACATTATGGAAATGAAAAATTGTTTTAAGCTATGTGTATTTTCAGTTTGTCCCGTTTGTGTTTAGTGACCAAGTTGGTCGTTGAGGGTGATCCACGTGTTGTTTCTCCCGTGCTCATTTCATTCTAGCTCGTTGGTTAGTTTAAAAATTGTTGTAATCAATTGATCTACCGAATAATATCAAGAGTTTTAGTGTCACGATTAGAGACCTGAGTGATGCGCTACTACTTCTTTAGTAATCAAGCTCGTTTGTGTTTGGGCTTGGATAGGCTTATCTATTGGGCATGTGGTGCGCTACTACTTCTTTACATTTGTGTCACGATTAGAGACCTGAGTGAGCAACCGGCCTGTGGTTGCCCTCGTAGTATTATTATTCGCGAGTGAGGAACCGACCTTGTGACTGCCCGCTGCGCTTTTGTATGCCGACTATCGATTATCTGAACCGCAGTTTTGATCTATAAATTTACTTTTAACGATAAAAAATAAATTCAAGAGTTTTTGTTTGGAAAAAAAATAAAAAATATATATTAAAGAAAACCATAAATTCCAAATTCCCAGTCACCTCTCCACCACCACTACCCACGCCCCATAGGCAAGTGGCCATTTTAGCTGCTTTTAGCTCATTTATATATGCTTTGCTCAAAAACTTGATAAAATACCTTTTTTTTTTTTTATT